TTGGCAATATCAAAGATAGCTCAACATGAAATAAAAGTGAGTTAACTTGTTATCCATCTCCTGTAAATGTGTATTTTCTATCTAATCCCTGCCTCTGAGGATTCTACAGCCATTCCCCACCTGCTCAACTCCTGATCTTGAGACTATACTAATTATCATCCTCTCCTTTGCCTTCAACTTCCAATCAAATTATGTTATGTTCTGCTCATTAACTATTTGTTTTTTGTTTTGAATTTCTTTATTTCTTCTAAAAAATATGGGAAACGTCTGCAGAAAGTGCAGGTTTGTTACATAGGTATACATGTGCCATGGTGGTTTGCTGCACCAATTGACCTGTCCTCTAAGTTTCCTCCCCTCACCCCCCACCCTCCAACAGGCCCTGGTGTGTGTTGTTCTCCTCTCTGTGTCCAGGTGTTCTGAGTGTTCAACTCCCACTTATGAGTGAGAACATGTAGTGTTTGGTTTTCTGTTCCTGTGTTAGTTTACTGAGGATGATGACTTCCAGCTTCATCCATGTCCATGCAAAGGACATGATATCATTCCTTTTTATGACTGCAGAGTATTCCATGGTGTATATGTACCACATTTTCTTTATCCAGTCTATCATAGATGGGCATTTGGTTGGTTCCACGTCTTTGCTATTGTAAATAGTGCTGCAATAAACGTACATGTGCATGTGTCTTTATCATGAAATGATTTATATTTGGGGGGATATATACCCACTAATGGCATTGCTGGGTCAAATGGTATTTCTGGTTCTAGATCATTGAGGAATAACCATACTGTCTTCCACAATGGTTGAACTAATTTAAATTCCCACCAACAGCGTAAAAGCATTCCTGTTCCTCCACAGCCTCTCCAGCATCTATTGTTTCTTGACTTTTTTGTGACTGGTGTGAGATGGTATCTCATTGTGGTTTTGATTTGCATTTCTCTGATGATCAGTGATGTTGAGCTATTTTTTATGTGTTTGTTGGCCACATGTATGTCTGTTTTTGAAAGGAATCTGTTCATATCCTTTGCCCACTTTTTAATGGGGTTGTTTTTATTCTTGTAAATTTGCTTAAATTCCTTGTAGATTCTGGATATTAGACCTTTGTCAGATGGGTAAACTGCAACATTTTTCTCCCATTCTGTAGGTTGCCTGTTCACTGTATTGATAGTTTCTTTCGCTGTGCAGAAGCTCTTTAGTTTAATTAGATCCCATTTGTCAGTTTTGGTTTGTGTTGCAATTGCTTTTGGCATTTTCATCATGAAGTCTTTGCCCATGCCTACATCCTGAATTGTATTGCCTAGGTTTTCTTCTAGAGTTTTTATGGCTTTGGGTTTTACATTTAAGTCTTTAATCTATCTTGGTTAATTTTTATATAAGGTGTAAGGAAGAAGTTGAATCCCAGAACAGACCAAAAACATGTTCTGAAATTGAGGCAGTAATTAGTAGCCTATCAACCAAAAAAAGCCCAGGACCAGACAGATTCACAGCTGAATTCTACCTGAAATACAAAGAGGAGCTGGTACCATTCCTTCTGAAACTATTCCAAACAATTGAAAAGGAGGGACTCCTCCCTAACTCATTTTATGAACTAGCATCATCCTAATACCATAACTGGGAAGATACACAACAACAAAAAAAGAAAATTTCAGGCCAATATCTCTGATGAACATTGATGCAAAATCCTCAATAAAATACTGACAAACTGAATCCAGCAGCACATCAAAAAATTATCCACTATGATCAATCAGCTTCATCCCTGGGATGCGAGGCTGGTTCAACATATGCAAATCAATAAACATAATCCATAAACAGAACCAAAGACAAAAACCACATGGTTATCTCAATAGATGCAGAAAATGCCTTCAATAAAATTCAACATTCTTCGTGTTAAAAACTCTCAATAAACTAGTTATTGATGGACCATATCTCAAAATAATAAGAGCTATTTATGACAAACCCACAGTCAGTATCATATTTAATGGGCCAAAGCTAGAAGCATTCCCTTGGAAAACCAGTACAAGACCAGGATGCCCCCTTTCACCACTCCTATTGAACACAGTATTGGAAGTTCTGGCCAGGGCAATCAGGCAAGAGAAAGAAAGGGTATTCAAATAGGAAAAGGGGAAGTCAAATTATATCTGTTTGCGGATGACATGGCTTTATATTTAAAAAGCCCCATCGTCTTAGTGCCAAAACTTAAACAGATAACCAAAGTCAGCAAGGTCTCAGGATGCGAAATCAATGTGCAAAAATCACAAGCATTCCTTTACACCAACAATAGAAAAGCAGAGAGCCAAATCATGAATTAACTCCTATTCACAATTGCTAGAAAGAGAATAAAATACCTAGGAATACTGCTAACAAGGGATGTGAAAGACCTCTTCAAGGGGAACTACAAACCATTGTTCAAGGAAATAAGAGAGGACACAAACAAAAGGAAAAACATTCCATCTTCATGGACAGGAAGAATCAATATCGTGAAAATGGCCATACTGCTCAAAGTAGCGTGTAGATTTAATGCTATTCCCATCAAGCTACCATTGACATTCTTCACAGAATTATAAAAAAACGACTTTAAATTTCATATAGAATCCAGGAAGACACTGTATAGCCAAGACAATTCTAAGCAAAAAGAGCAAAGCTGGAGGCATCACACCTCCTGACTTCAAGCTATATTACAAGCCTACAGTAATCAAAGCAGCATGGTACTAGTACCAAAACAGACATGTAGACAAATGGAACAGAACAGAGACTTCAGAAATAACACCACACATCTACAACCATCTGATCTTCGATAAACCTGACAAAAATAAGCAATGGGGAAAGGATCTCTTATTCAATAAATGGTGCTGGGAAAACTGGCTAGCCATATGCAGAAAACTATTTCTTAAATATATGCCAACTTCCATGTTTAGTGATATTCTCTTTAAAATTTTTGACACTCCTTGCCTAGACTATCAAAATGGCTTTCTAACTAGATTTTCCTACTTCCAACCTGGTCACTGTTAAACCCACCTTTCCTTCTACTATCAGAGTGATTTTCCTAAAATTAAAAGTTACGTTAAATCCTTTAATGTTTTCACTTTACCATTAGAAGAAAGTCAAAACTCCATAGCATGATGTCAAGTCTTTTATCATCTTGTCCTTGAATACATTTCCAACTTTAACTGTGCTGTCTGCCATCTCCCCATATCCTGCACACCAGCCATGTCAAAATACATTTGATTTGCCAAATACATCACACTTTTGAAGGACCATATGGCTTTATATATCTTCCCATTGCCTGCAAACCTGCTTCTCTCTGTTTTTTATCTAGCTAAATTATATTAAGGCTTCAAAGATTACTTAAGTATCATATTTCCACTGAAATCTTTGCCTGTTGCCCACATCCTCCACCAGATCTGTGTTGTTTCCTTTTCTCAATGCTCCTAGAGATCCCTGTGTTGATCTCTTTCTGGCACTTTGCTAAAAAATGGTGGTGAGAACACTTAACATGAGATCTGCTCTCTTAACAAAATATTAAATGCACAATACAATATTGTTAACTATATACCAATGTTGCACTGCAGATCTCTGGAACTTCATCATCATTTGTAACCAAAATTTTTACCCATTGAATGGCAACTGCATATTTACCCTTCTCCTCATCCCCTGGAAATCATCATTCTACTTTCTGCTTCTATGAGTCTGACTTATTTAGATACTTTATATATGTTGAATCATGCAGTATTTGTCACTATGTGACTGGCTTATTTATTTCACTTAGCATAATGTCCTCAAGGTTTATACACATGTATTCACACTGTCACATATCACAGGACTTCTTTCTTTTTTATGATAATATTCCATTGGATGTACGTACCACATAATATATTCATCAACTGGTGGAGATTTAGGCTGTTTCCATGTCTTGCCTCTTGTGAATAGTGTTGTAATGAACATGAGAATGCTAATATCTCCTTGAAGTTCTGATTTCAATTCTTTTGGGTAAATACCCAGAAGTGGAATTGCTAGATTATATTGCAATGCTGCAGTAATTAAAACAGTATGGTACTGGCATAAAGACAGATATAGACCAATGTTACAGACTACAGAGCCCAGAAACAGATCTACACATATACAATGAACTGATCTTTAACAAGGATGCCAAGAAAACACAATGGGGAAAGGAGTCTCTTCTACAAATGGCAGTGGGAAAAGTGAATATTCACATGCAAAAGAATGAGATTGACCTTTATCTTACACCATATGTTAATACAAAAATCAACTTAAAATGGATTAAAGACCTAAACATAAGATCTGAAACTGTAAAATTCCTAAAAGAAAACATAGGGGAAAATCTTCATGACATTGGTCTTGGCAATGATCTCATGGATAAGACACCAAAAGTACAGGAAGTAAAAGTGAAAATAGACAAATGGGACTACATCAAACTAAAAAGCTTCTGCAAAGCAAAGGAAATAATCAATAGAATAAAATGCCCTCCTAGTACTTTTTATACTACCTTGCATTTATTGCTTCTCTTCTCTTTCATCACAAACATAAACTGATGACTTGGCAAGCCAAATCCATGATATTCAGGATCAAAGCTGAAGAATAATTTTTCTGTTGGTGACTTTAACGGGTGGAAAGTGTGGGAAGAAGCAGGTTGGAAGGAAAAGAAAAAGAGAATTTAAGACGAACTTTTCAGGAAATTTCCCAGAATGTTATTAGATACCAAGAGATTACTCTTTGTTTGCTACAGGTCTCTGGTTTGGAGCAGCAAGTTTAATAATTCACAGTAAAATTAGCTCTCTCTATAATGGGGAAAATATTTTCCTAAAGTCAAATAATTTCCTGGTTGGTCTTCAGGACAAGTGTTACAGGTAACCAAAGAAATGTTCACCTTAGCAATGTAGAGATGGTTCTAACTTCTCTTCTTTAACCATCTCCTCACAACCTAAATGTGCAATAAGAAGACTGGAGGCTGAACACATTGAAGAACGAAGTGATTGAAGCACCTTACCTGAGACAATATAAATGTAAAATCAAAGAAGAAATGATGAACAGGAGGATGTAAAGCAGCACTGTGATCACCACGCCAAGAATGCCTGGCTGCATCGTTCTTACAAACATCCAGTAGAGCTTCGCGGCATCCGCCATGGGAGTCTCCTCATTATCTGTTAGCCGCTGACAAAAGCAAATACAGATTTGAAAAACTAAGAATGGGAACACTGATCATCAAGTTAGGTGAAAGTAAATATACAAAGACTATGTGACCCTATAAATTGTTTTTGAAATAAGTCTTCCAGGTACTGAAGATTGCCAGCTCTTCTGGTACACAAAGGAAAAGAAAAAAGGCTTGGTTTACCCGGTTTTTCTCATCTTCCCTCTAAGCCTTTACATGCACACACTTGACATGCAATTCATAAAGTAAAAGCCATGTTTTATTTATGTACTATTAACTTCTGAATTTAATGAGCACAAGATGTGAAGAAATTAAATATGATGGTGAAAAGAGTCCTTTCTTTCTGAAGCAGATTTGATAAGAATTTAATTTGTGCTATGCATAAAAGAGATGGCTTATTTTAGAAACTTATAAAAAAGTTATCAGGCTACTTAATGTGCGTTTGAAAACCAAGTTTACATTAGGTTAATTTAACAATAAGTCCTTATTTTAGACAAGGAAAGACGTACACTACACTGGATTAGAAATGAAAAACAATACTATGGGGTTTTTAAAAGTATATACATTTGTAAAGACCTACAGTATCATCATATGACATCTTTGACTTTATAAAATATGGATGTTCTTTAATTATAAGTCTCTTGATATCAAGTGGAAGTAATGTGCAATATAAATGTTAAGTAAAGTATCTTTTCTCAATGCAATAGAGCAGGAAGAATTTCTTTAGTTTTTAAACTGATGATTAAAATGATGATAAATAAATGTTGAAAAGCCGTTTTTTAAAAAAGCTTATCCAAACCACTCATGTGTAGATGAAAACAGAAACCTAAGCAGATTCATTTGTATTTTCCCTACACCAAAATATACTTTAGTGATTGGGCAGTGAGTATAATTGAGATGTTCCAATTCTCAACTACTGCTTCTTTGAGCACCATCTCAAAACTTTTATTTCTATATTCTGTACTTGTTAACCAGTCTATCTCGCAAAATTGTGTGACTGCTGCCAGGACTTTTGGCAATAGATTGTAAGAGTCATCATGCATCTCTCCTATTCTACATCATACCTTTCTGCTGTTTCTTAAAGGTAATGAAATAGACTTGAGATTCATTAATGAAACCAAAAAAAAAGATATATATTTGATGACAGTCACATAACCTAACCAATATATTTTAATTATTTCTTTGACCTACATATATTGAATGCCTATTATGTGTCATTAGGAACTGAAGATAAAAGAGGGAATACAATTAGACAAAAGCTCTACCCTCTTGGAGCTTACATTTAGGTGAGAAGGGGGTACATGAATGATAGTAAGCATATATGCAAGATTAAAATAAGTAATTTATTGTTTATGATACATCACAGGATGGTATTATGAAGAAAAATGTAAACCAGAAGAGGTATAGGAAAGATAGAAGTGTATCACTAAATATTGCTTCAGAATAGGTGTCACTAAAAATATGGCCTCTAAGAAAAGACCTAAAGATATAAGAGAATGAGCCAGGTGCCTCCCAAATGGTATTCATCACATACGGCCCATACTACATCTGTGTGTGTGTGTGTGTGTGTGTGTGTGTTGATTCTCCAACTAGATTGTAAATTCCAGCCTGGACTATAGGGGCAATGGCTCTTACATCTTGTGTCATTCACAGAGCACAGCATCATCATTTCATTCTCATACTCTCATCTTTATTCTTTTTATGTTAAACATATAATATATAGTATGTTTATATATTTATACACATAATATATAAAATATATATTATATATTTATATACATAATTTATATATGTATTTTTAATATATATATATATATATATATGTTTCAAGGTTTATTCCCAGTCTCTTATTTGATCTTCCCAGCAACACTATAAAAAGAGTAAGGTAGGTGTTTTGTATTTGTAGATATTACTACTTTCTCATGATGCATATGAGGACATTGAAAACCGAAGAGGTAAACTGGCCTATCCGACATCAAATAGATGACACATAGCAGAGCTGGGACCAGAACCCAGCTCTCTCTGACTCCAACTCTGTGGTCTTTCCACTACTCTGTGGTCACTTCTAATGGAGTGTTTGTCATTTGAATGTGTCTCCCAAAAGCATGTGTTGGAAACTTAATCCCAGTGCAACAGTGTTGGGAGGTAGAGCCTAATGGGAGGTGTTTAGGTGATGAAGGCTCCATCCTCATGAATGGATCAATGCCAATTATAAAAGGGCTTGAGGCTGCAAGTTTGAATTCTTGCCATTTCTCATCCTCTCTTTGCTCTCCTGCCATGGGATGACACAGCAAGAAGCCCCTTGCACGTGGTTGACTGCCACGGGTACTACTTGAGACCGTCATTATGGCAGTTACTATTGTTACTGCTTGAGACCGTCATTACAAGACTGAACGAAGGGATGAACATAGAAATGATAACAAAAAACAAAAGAAACTATTTTAAGGGAAGGCTAGCATGGAGGAGAAGAAGAGAGCTCCCTGCTTCTAGTGAGCAAAGACGGCCGCTGAGCATCTACAGCCCTTTGTATTTATTAAGTAACAAGAGCAAGGAGGAGAAGGTAATGATTGGTCAGCTGCTTAATTGATCAAGGGTTCATATTGTTACTGACAGGTTTCAATTATGCCTAATCATAAGAAACATTTGTGCAGCGTCCAACACTTTTAGGATGTCAGTTCCTCAATCTCAGACTTCCCAGACTCCATAACCATGAGCCAATAATTCCTGTTCATTATAAATTAACCAGTCTTAGGTATTTTATTATTGCAGCACAAAAGAGAATAAGATGTGGAGTCTCAAGAATCGTTTGCTGAATGACAGTGTTTGCATCCTACCTTTCATCTTTGCTTACATGTTTTATTCTTATCTCACTATTTATATTGAGGGCAGAAATTATGCCATATTTATTCTGAATCTTTTAAAACCTTATGTAGAGAGTATATACTCAATAAATATGTCCTGATGGACTAAAACATTCAGTAGCAAATCTTTCCTCTACTTTTTATCCAGATTAGGGCTCAGGCAGAGAAATAATTTATCCACTTAATGAAATTGTTGAGCATAGTATCATCAATGCATTGCCAACCTCTGAACCAACAAACTGAAGGACTAGCAAAGAATTACTAGCAACATCAACAGCCACTCAGCACTTCAGCCTCAGACCAATTCATCTGCCACATCTCCCTTTAGATCTCCATACATGAAATGAATTCAAGACAGAAAATACCAGTAAAATTAGGTAGCATCTCCCTGAGCTGAGTGACCTGGTTCAAACCCAGAAGATACTCAGCTTCGTCCGCTAAAAAGAAGTGCGGAAGGATCTGGAGGTATGAACACTCAGGCAACCTGAGTCTCCCAAGTGACATTCAACCTATGATAACTGCAATCCTTGTGGAACAGTAGTTTTCAAGAATTAAAGATCATCAGAATCACCTGGAAGGTTTGTTAATATACATATTGATGGGCCCCTTCCCAATGTTTCTAGCTCAGTGAATTTGGTGCAGGGCCTGAGATTTTGCATTTCTGTTAAGTTCTCAGGTGATGTTAATGTTGTTGGTCCAGGGACCACACTTTGAGAACCATAGATTTAAATCAATACTTCTGAAGCTTCAGTATGTGGCCACATCCAAGTGCATTTTTACAGGTTCCCAAAGGGTTTTAATGCTGTCTATCTGTGGATTACAGACAGCTTTAGAGGTTTTTAAAAGATAACAAAATTAGATGTCATCTGCAATAAAACATGATGGATTCAAACTGCCCAATAATTTGTGCAAATTTGGAAAACAATTTAGCTTTTTTTTTTTTTTTTCAAGTAGAGAGAGAGAGAAGGGTGCTCTATACAGCTACTGGAATCCAAGGCAGCCTTTGTCAGGTTCCAGATCTATGAACTGGTTCTGAGATGGCCACACTGGAGGTTACTTTCCTATAGATTACATCGGAGGTCCAGAGTAAATTAAGTTCTGCTCATTTTGTCAGCTGCCTTGGATACAGTGGTCTGGTCTCCTATTTATCTGCCTGAGGGAACTAACTGAAACAAGAAAAGTCCTTCCAAGATTGCTGCAGATATCCTTCTGAGCAGATCTCAGAGGACCACAGGGACAGCTGCTCATCCTCCCCAAATGGCTTCACGTGTGATGTGGCTGTAGGCTGAGCCCCAGCACCCTGTCTACTCAATATGCACATTAGGACTCTGGGAGAAACTGGAAGTTGGTCCTCCCAGAATGCAGACAGCATTCCTCTCTACATCTCCTGCTCATCAATCCTCGATGCCACAGTCACCTTATTATCCTGGAGAATAAGAGAGGTAGGAATGTAGATGTTATCCAGCTGGAGAATCAGAATGTGCTAATCAACAGGGTGAAAATAGTTTAGAGATGGGGTAGGAAACACAGCCACTTCTAACTCAAAAGGCTCCCTCTTCTGCCATGTTGTCAAGGTGCTCAAAGGCATGGAGGCTTCACGCAGTGGTCTATCCTTCAAGAACTGAGGAGCGTTCCTTGGCACATGATTCTTTCGCTAATCCCTAACAGTGGGACTAGAAATTAGATATACCAGTGGGCTTGAGGGGCACTGTTTTAGTTAATTTTAATAATGTTAAATGGTCTACATAGTTAAGAGTCAACAATCACACTTGTCGGCAGGTTCTGGGCATTTCTGGCAGAGGTCATTTCCACTCAGGAATAAGCAGTCAGAATTCTCACATGAAATCAACAAGACATTAGTGCACTTAAAGCTTCGAGAACTCCAGTCTTGTGAAGAGCAGTCCAGCTATCCCCAGTGAGCGAAAGCCCAGCCTAGCAAGCAGGAAAATGAAAGCAAAGGCCTTCTCAGCAAAGTATGTAGCACCTTGTTACTCACAGTATGTCCATGGAACTAGCATCATTGGCACCATCTAGGGGTCTATCAGTAATGAAGAATCCTAGGCTCTACCTGCTAACTCAGAATGTGCATTTTGTTTTATTTTTTAAAATATGTTTTTATTTTTATAGATTTAGAGGCTGTAAGTGCAGATTTGTTACATGAATATGTTGTGCAGTGGTGAAGTCTGGGACTTTTCATGTAACCATCACCCAACTAGTATACACTGCACCCATTAGGTAATTTCTCATCCCTCATGCCAATTTCCCATCCCTCACGCCCCTTCCACCCTCCATCCTCCCACCTTTTTAAGTCTCTGATGTCTATTATTCCACTGTTTATGTTCATGTATACTCATTATTTAGCTCCCACATATAAGTGAGAACGGGAATGTGCATTTTAATAAGATCCCCAGGGAACTTGAAAGCAAATCTTTCCTCTACTTTTTATCCAGATTAGGGCTCAGGCAGAGAAATAGCATGCTAGGGCCTGAGACACAGTGCGAAAAATGGTGACAGGCTCTGCTGACCTTAGCTGTCTACTATAGCACCCAAAGTGGGAGATATCTTCATGGATGCAAATGTTCTGAAAGCACTTTGTTGACAAAAGAGTCGATTTCAAACACAGTTAACAAGTAGAGTCCATCAAAACACTCATCTCTAGGATTTGCTTGGTATGGTGAATATAATCCAAACACATACATTCCAGTTATGAAACTTTCCTTCTTCTTGTTAAAAGGAGAAATATACCAAATGTGGAATATTATTTCATACATTAAGATAATTTTATAAATAAACATTTGGTCATATTGATTAATTTATAGTATCTATATGCTCCCTTGCTTGGAATGATATTTTATGGCCAGGTCTACAGTATAGAAATTTAGTTAAAATTCAGATGTCTCTTCTTTTGCCTATTGAAATTGCTTAAAAATGTGATGACTCCAAGGTAAAGTGTTTCTTGGCTTGAATTACTCCACTGTTTGCCAGTATCTTTAATTTTGCTTTGATGATTTAATCTAAAGCATTTGGCAATTTAAATGGAGCTTCAATAAAGTTGCTAAATTGCAGGTCAGGGGTCACGTGGCAAGTAGGCAGGATAGGAAAGGATGATCCCCCATTGAGCCTTGCCTAGGAAAGGATGCCCAATTGAGCCCTGCCTATGCAGGAGCTTGCATCTTCCAACCTATGTTGCTATTCTTAGATCTTCTTAGTTGGCTCATCAGAGCTTTCCTATGCATCCATAATGTCCGTGGTCCTCAAACTGTGGTCCCTGACAAACAACATCACTGTCATCTATAAATTTGTTAGAAATGCAAGTTCTTGAGCTCTACTTTAGACCCACGAGAGGAAGAACTCTGAGAATGGGGCCCAGCAATCTGTTTTTACAATAGCCTACAATAGATTCTGATACAGAATAAGGTTTGAGAATCAGTACGTTTCAGTAACACTCTCTAGGAAATCCCACGCCTTGCGAATTCAAAGCAATAGATTTGGATATGGTAATAAATTTACACTAAGAGCCACATCATTTTTGCCTCAAATTATAGCCCCCAAATTCATTGGTAAATTAAATATTTTGGGGTAATCAAAAAATTGTCATCAGGGATAACATACATTTGATTTCACAAAGCAATATATTGACTGAAAGCTTGAAGTAGAGATTTCAACATGATGGAAGGAACATCATCCTCAGAATTCAGAAATCTGGGTCCTAGTCGTGGGTGCAGTGTGAACTGGCTATATGACCTCAGATAAGTCATGTAATTCTGCATCTGGTTTCTCCCAGCTGTAAAGTGAGAAGAATACTTGCCCCATCAACTTACAGGATTGTCATAAATATGTAATCAAAGACATTGTGTGAAGATGCTTGAAAAATACAGGAGCACTCTTCAAATATTAGAATTATTATTACCATTATTTACATGTCATTATGTACCTTAATACATCATTCATAATTATGTAATCTTAGAAATATATATTTTAGGGTGAAAATGCACCATGTCACTTCAATATCATCACAAAAGTCTAAGTAAATGCCTATGCGGTAGTTTTTAAAATACATTTATTACTTAGAAATGTTTAAAAAGCTTTCATTCTTGACTGTATTTATTGCAGAAGAGTACTACATCATAGTCAATAAATAACCTAACTAATTCAAGGAACTAGTGTGCAGTTACCTTTTTGCAAAATTTGCCTATGAAAATTCTTAATATTAAAAAAGTTACCTAAACAAAGTTACCAAAAGAATATAACAAAATAAAGCTTCTTTGTAATAAGGTTACAAATGTGACAGCTAGCTGGGATTTGATCTTCAACATGACTTCTGGCTTATTTTTCAAGTGTTTATTTATGAGAGTTAAAATTACACTTAAATTGATTATATTAGACATGCATGACTTTTTTATCAGAAGAAACTTAATTTCGATTTAAGATGAATACTGATTGTTCATTATGATTGAAACTTTCCATGTCAAATGATTCATGGACTAAAGCTAAATTCTATGTCAAGGACTCATATCCTGATTATTTCATTTGACTTACCCCCAGGAGAGTATCCACTATAAACACTGCCAATGGGTCTAGAACTGTCCATAGTCCCATGGTAATGATTAACTTTGACAAGACATCAGGGCAGGAGGCAAACAGTAGCTGACAGCCCCATCTGATCAAAACCAAAAGAAGTAGGATTGCATTCAGCATTAAAGGCCCCATCACAACCACAGGAAACTCTTCTCCAATGTGAAGTGAGGAAGTTGGGTAGCGAAGCTCAACGGTGTAAAGAGAAAAATGGAATCTGTGGGAAAAGAAGGCAATCGTGTAAGGGTGAACAAGAGGAACCGTACAAAATACCAAGTGTACAAACCAATTTAAAGAACTCTGTGTTTTGTTTTCTTTTTCTTAAATACAGAAAACTGGACACTTAGTAGTACCCCCCAATTTATTGTTATAAGTTTTCATCTTATCCCAGCCCCTCAACATGTTACTTCCCAGGAAAAGGTAAACTCTACCCTGTTTATTGTTGTTTTAAGTGTCCTGTGCCTCCATAGAAAGTATGTCAATTTGAGCCACTGAACACAGCATTCTAAAGACTAAGAGCATTTCTGCAGTTCACACAGTACATTTTAGTAGGTTATTTAAAATGCGAAATATACCAGTGAACTTTCTACTGTGTCAATCTGTAACAGAAATGAGAACTAGATGTAAATCTAATGCTCCTTTAGAGTTTCAGCGTAACTGATTAATTTTACTCATGATTCTTGTCAGCAGATTCCCAGATACAACAAAAATGACACTGTCACCACTAACAACCAAAATATCATACTCCTTTGTTGTTCTAAAAGAGTCAACTAGATGCAGTTGAAGGACCTAACTCAATGATTAGATCCAATCTGAACCCAGTCATTCAAGCATCCTCGACCCAGGCTTTGCCACTGTCTTTCTGTGCAGCAAGACTTTATTTCACTTGAAGTTTTCTCTCCCCTGAATTTCAGCCTATGTAAAGCTGCTTCATAGTTAATCCTGCCTGTGCATTCTATTTATCTGCCATCTACTAAAAGGAGTTGTTTTACCCACTCCTTGACTTGTGCTTCAAAGAAAGTTTTATGCTTTGTTCTTATGTGAATATCAAATAAAGTAATGTACATACATTTCATACATTTCTTTTTTCTTTCTTTTTTTTTTTTGAAACAGAGTCTCGCTATGTCACCCAGGCTGGAGTGCAGGGGCACAATCTTGGCTCACTGCAAGCTCTGCCTCCTGGGTTCACGCCATTCTCCTGCCTCAGCCTCCCAAGTATCTGGGACTACAGGTGCCTGCCACCACACCCGGTTAATTTTTTTTTTCTTTTTCTTTTTCTTTTTGTATTTTTAGGAGAGATGGAGTTTCACCATGTTAGCCAGGATGGTCTCGATCTCCTGACCTCGTGATCCGCCCGCCTTGGCCTCCCAAAGTGCTGGGATTACAGGCATGAGCCACCGTGCCCGGCCATGTACGTAAATATCTTAGCATAGTATCTGACACAGAGCGAGCGTGGAAGACATGCTCATTGTTGGTAATGTTATTGCTACAGCTCACAGCTAAGATGTGACACAGAGCTACTGTGTAACTCAAGCTTGCAGACTGAGACAATAGCCAGAAAATATCGTTTGTATCTTAGGTCCTCCGTTGCTTAAGAAATTGGTTCAACGGGGCTGTCAAGATACATTTTGCAGTCTCATTTTATTAACAACTAATAGAGATAGGGCTTCCTTTCCTATTGAAGAATAAAAGAGTGAAAAGCAAACAACAACTAGGCCAAGCATATAACATTTGTTTTTCCTGCTTTGGAAAACTTAAAAAAAGGAAAGAGAAAGAAAGAAAGGAGGAACAAAGAGACTATCCATATAAAAATTCCTCCTTGAAAATGCAGTTTAGTATATACACATTTGTATATTCCATAATATATTCGGACCTTTATGATTTCATTTTCAAAGAATATCAATAACTATATATGTATGTATAAATACAAATATACATATATATTATTTTCATAAAGTCTTAAAGTTCTTTGCACTCTTCTTAATTGAAAATATACACACAACTTTATTTTTATCTGTACCATCTACATTTGAGAAAATGAATTTTACTCGTATTGATATCTATCTGTGTGTCTATCTACAGTGTCTTTGGAATCATGTTTATAAAGAGATAACCTTTAAAATGTCATCCTTTTCCAGAGGATAATGGCCCCGAAAGCTGCCTGGGCTTGAGTTTGGTAATTGTTTGAATTCAATCATTTTGCAGAAGAAGCAATCTTTGCTTCTCTGTGAATAGGTGATAAATCACACTTACATTACTTCTAAAATACCTTCAGCCTAAGTCACTATGATAAAATCAAAATAGAATAAAACATTGTTGCTAAATTCCTTTTTGGAACCTGCTCAGATATTAGAACATATTTGAATCTGCTAAATTTAAAATAAATATTGATGTACCAGTTATGTACTTATATATACAGGCCCACAAGGTGAGACTATAACTGTAATAGAAGTTCTTGCTCTTAGATAAAGACATTTTTGTCTTTTCAAATAATCTCTGCATTTTAGGTTGTACGGTAAATGGATGGGAGAGGTGTTTTGTACTTTCATTTGTCCTATCAAGATGAAAATACATTCTTTTGACTTTCAGAGGAAAGCACTCACTTTGTAACAGGAGTTGAAATGGCCTGGAGGAAAAGCCACTGGCCCAGGTAATGCAGGTAGAGCCTCAGGAACCAGAGAGAAACCATCAGCAGGATAATGTACCAGAAGCCCTGGCTTTGCCATTGAGATAACTGAAGTTCTGAAGACACTGATACCAGCACAAAATGGAGATGCTTGAAGAAGTCTCCGGATCTACTGTCAGCAACTGAAGAACAGCTGCAAACAAAGAAACAGTACATAAAAATCTGTGCTTAAAGCACAACCAAAAGTAAGATATTTTGAGAATAACAGTGAAACACTGTGAAAGGAAAATTGATGAAAATTATTTCTAAATAAATAATTGGACTCAAAAGTATTTATGTTCCTTTTAGCTATAGTGGATTGCTCACATTATAGGAGAACACAAAGTAACATGAATTAGGGAAATGCAAATCAAGACCACAATGAGATGCCACCCCACATCTGTTAAAATGCCTACTATAAACACACACACACATACACAATAATAAGTGTTTGCAAGGATGTGAAGAAATTAAAACCTTTGTGTACTATTAGCAGGAAAGTAAAAAGGTTCAACTGCTATGGAAAACAGTATGGTATATCCTCAAAAAATTAAAAATAGAATTATCATATGATTCAGCAATTCCACCTTTGGATATATATCCAAAAGAATTGAAAGTAGGGTCCAGAAGTGATATTTGTGTACCCATGATTATAACAGAATTATTCACAATAGGCAAGATGTGGAAACAATATAAATGTCCATTGGTCGATGAATGGATAAACAAAGTGTGGTGTATATATATAAACAATGGGATATTATTCACCTTTAACAAAGAAGGAAATTCTGACACATACTACAACATGGATGAACCTTGAGGACATTGTGCTAAGAAAGATAAGCCAGTCACAGAAGAATACATACTTAGATTTCACTTACATGAAGAGGTATCTGAAATAGTCAAAATCATAGAAACAGAAAGTAGAATGGTGGTTGGCAGGCATGGGGGAGAGGGGAAGTGAGCAGTTGCTAACAGTATAGAATTTCAGTTTTTCAAGATAAAAATACTCAGGAGATTTGTTGCACAACAATGGGAAAATACCACTGAACTGTAACTTAAAAGTGGCCAAGATGGTAAGTTTTATGTTATGTGGATTTTACCATAATTGAACAGTTTTTAAAAATAAACATGAAATAAATTATTGTAAATGGTAAATGTATTTTTTATTTTTAAAATCTAAAATATATTCCAGCTTATCTCACCCACAATTCTCTGTCTACATGGAGATTAAATTATTTGCATGTAACTTGTTAAAGATCAATTTTCATTTTAAAAATTGAAATTATCAGTATGCCACTAAAAATCTATGAATACAAATTCAAAGCTTAAGAACTTTTTCATTACATAACACAATACTGATATTTTTGGTTGAAATAAACTATAAAAGGATCTCATACAAAGTATTCTGATTTAGCTCTGATCTCCTCTCAATATTTGGCATTAAGGGCGAGAGATGTCAAAGTTTCTAAAATTACCGTTTTTGCAAGAGAAAAGATGAAGAGCCCATCTGAAAATAACTGAACAATCAGAAAGCATTTTCCACTCAGTCCAAATAATTTGTGGAGGTAGTATACAGTAGTTAGCACAGTGTTGTGACTAAAATCTCTGGGAGCTGATAGCCTGGATATAATTATTCTCTATGCCTTAGTTTGCTCACATGGAAAAAGCAGCTTGTAATAGCACCCATATCTCAGGGTCAGCATGATGAGTAGGTTAACAGATATAAAACAATTTGAACCATATTATCACTGTGGTACATTCACAAAACAATGAATACTTAATCTGTTGCTTCTCTTTCTTTCTCCTAATTTTTCCCAGCGCTACTTTGAACTAGTCTGGGCTTCCATTGAGCCCAAGAAATGTAGAAAACCTGACTAAATAATGATATGATTCCTTTTATTTTTGAAGATATATATATGGATATGCAAATTTTTATTTAATTAAGGCAGTAAATCACATGAGTATATACCATGTGTTTTATTAAACCAGTAATTGATCTTTATAATAACTAGTCTCTAAATTCCTGGATAAGCATGCCTAATTTTATTCTAGAAAGATTTTCCAGAATGAGATAGTAAATTCCTCCATGAAAAATAGTCCTAATAATAAACATGTTACCAAAGGAGAAACTAGTAACAGACTAAGCAGTTCAGTGACTTAATGATGAACCATAGCAAGTCAGAGCAGTGCTGGGGACAGCAAAGAAATGGAATTCATGGACATATTCAAAAGATGTTACATATAAATGCTCATTGCTCTCTGAAGATCAAATATGATGACATAACATGGGAAGAGAAGATAAATCATGAAAACAAGAGTGGGGAAAAAAGAAAGAAAGAAAAAACAACAAGTAAAAGACAATCTACTATTCCCTCTTAGCATTGCAGACCATGATTACAGTCTTTTGGTCTGCACAGAACTAGTGAGGCACCGAACCTGATATTGACAATTCCTTTTGTTTGTTCTTGTGTGTGTTTCTCCATGAAGGTGTAGACCGTCACCTAATGGAAAGCAAGATGCAGTCTTTTCATTGAGCATTCTTTTCAATTACACAAATGAGGAACAGTTAAACAGGAAACAGACCCCAAGAAGGTTTGGTTTATATACAGTAATGTAGTCAGGGGCTAACTCTGTTATAGAAGGGATTCCAAAATACCTCACTCCATTTACCATCATGTGAAATGAAATGCAGAACTTTCCACACTGCTAAAGCAGAATGCCCTGTACATGATCTCCTCCTCAGTTAATGATTCTGTCATTGTTTTGCCTCTTCAAAGGGAAGGGAAAATCAGATGCAGATTTGGCATTGTGTTGTTTGAAAATAAAAAACAAAAAAAACCTGGAAAGTCTCAAATGATGCAAAACAGAAAAGACAGTAGCTTCTTTGACCTTTGGAAATTTCCACTGTTCTTTTCATATCCATTGACATAAATGACTAAGCAGTTTAAGTGTGTATGCACAGAACCCACTATAAAGTCATTCTTTTACCATTAGTTTTACTATAAAAATGTTTCCTACTCACATTCAGATATATGTGTTGTTGTTTTTTTTTTTAACCAGACTTTTGATTTAGGACAAATAACACTAAAATTGCATTAGGAACCACTTACATCGAATTCAAAATATTCAGTTATTTTATACCTAGTCACCACAAGTCAATATTTGTTTTTTGATTTATCTAATAATGGTAACTATTATTAGATACATGTGGAGTCAGAGAGTCAGGAAAATCCCTGAATTGATCATTGAGAGTTTAGAAATTTATATACTGCAAATTAGAAATTTATAAAGGAATCAGTTGATACTCAATGATGCCAAATAAAAGACTATATCAAAAGCTAATTAATTGAGCAAAACTAGGCAAGTATAGTGTGTTATTAACAATGCCCATACAAAAAGAAAATATGGTAGTCTTTTAATCGTTTTAAATTTGCCCTTGAAATCTAAATGTATAGAATTTAGAACTGTTGTAGAATTATCTCTACAACTTTCTCTTCACTTCTCATTCTTGAAACATTTTTCATTAAAAAGAATTTTGCTTCCATGTTTCAAAATTGTCTTGAAAAAGAGCATCTTTTGTATCCTTATAGGCATGCAAGGCTTACATGATAAAATGCAGTGCCATTGTGGAATATCTTCATCCATATTGCAACTGTTCTTTTCCTTCCTCTGTAATCTTTCTTGGTTATGTACAAAGAGTATGACCATCAAAAGGATAATAAATGGCCTCTGCCACTGGGGTGTGTAATACGCATAGTGGGAATTGATTTGTTGGTTATGAAGGAAGCCACAGAGCACACAGATCACTGCAAAATCACATTGAGGCCAGCAGCTACTTCTCAGTTCATGCGGACATCTCCTCTATTGCTCACGGGGTGAGCTGCCAGAGGGTGAGAAGAATGGTGAGGTCATCCAGTATTCAGCTATTAAATGAAACCTATTTCTCTGAACTTTAGCCACATTTCAAATGACACACATATATCCACCTTCCATGCCCAGTCCTAATAAAGACCTGAAATCAAACAAGATTTCTATGATCCATCCACGTAATCATAATAAAAAAAAAAGACCAAAATTGCTTTGGAAAAAAAAAGAAGATAATGCATAAAAAAGAGAATGCATTCTTAAACTACTCTATTCTATAGTTAACAAGAATCCTTAGGAATTTGGATAAAACAAAGAGTCATTCACTCATCAATTATGCATAATAATTCTTATTTAAAAATAACTACCAATAGATGGCACTAAAAATTTCCATATTCCTTTCTTTTGGCATAACCAAGCACACTCTGGTTGTACCATTTTTTAAAAAGTATGGTGCTTTTTTCATTATAATCATCTATAAGTAATTCTTTTATTTAGGTACTTCTTAATTTCTTTTCCACCATATCCCACTCATCAGCAAGTTTTCGAGCATGGATATCCTCAGTGACTTCTGAGGCTTTCTAAGACTTAATAGTCACCTTTTCAGGGAGTCATTATCATGAAGATATCAAAGAAACATTGATATATCATTTCATGGTTGGAGAAGGTGTTATTATATTCCCTCAGCATTCCCTTCTCCAGAGGCTGAATTAAAGCCTAAATAAGATAAGTCATTTGCCTAAGTAACATTACTGGTAACAAAGAATTTTTAAGCTAGTGTCACCTGCTTTTTTGTGAGGACTCTTCATCAGTCAGCTACTGAATCACTTTAGCAAGAAACCCAATGACCAAGCAACTCTAGGCTGATTGAAAGTGAGCATCTTTACCTAGAACCTAGGTAAAAAAAAAAAAAAAAAAAAAGCATTTCTTCCTTTGTAGAAGCTGGTTGAATTGGGTATAACTTATTCAACAGATTATTGTTAAATCAATATAATATATCAGGCTTTATCATAGTGCAGTTGGCAGAATAATGGTCCCCAAATATTCTATGCCTTAATTCCTGGAATCTGTGATTATGCGAAATTATATGGCAAAGGGAAATTAAGTAGCAGATGGAGTTAAAGTTGCTAACTGCTGGGCTTAAAATATGAAAAGTATTCTGGATGATTTAGTCAAGCCCAATCTAATCACAAGAGTTCTTTTAAAAAAAAAAAATGGAAGAAGAAAGCAGAAGAGACAGAATGAAAACACAAGACCAACCCAGAAAAAGGGTAACGTGAGAAGGATGGT